TAAAATTTTACTCTGCATAAGAGTAAAATTTTACTCTGAATCTAAGAGTAAAATGTTGCGGCCTGAATTTGAAAGTAAAATTTTACTCTCATTGTAAACAGAGGATTCAGACCAGAGTAAAATTTTACTCTGATGTAGGAGTAAAATGTTACAAAAGGAATCTAAAAGTAAAATTTTATTCTGCAAAAAAGTAAAATTTACTCTGCATAAGAGTAAAATTTTATAAATGTAAAATTTTACTCTCATTGTAAACAGAGCAATCAAGCACAGTAAAATTTTACTTTGATATAGGAGTAAAATGTTACAAACAGAATCTAAAAGTACATAAAAGTAAAATTTTACTCTGCATAAGAGTAAAATTTTACTCTGAATTTAAGAGTAAAAATGTTGCGGCCTGAATTTGAAAGTAAAATTTTACTCTGTATAAATGTAAAATTTTACTCTCATTGTAAACAGAGCAATCGAGCGGAGTAAAATTTTACTCTGATATAGGAGTAAAATGTTACAAACGGAATCTCAAAGTACATAAAAGTAAAATTTTACTCTGAATCTATGAGTAAAATGTTGCGGCCTGAATTTGAAAGTAAAATTTTACTCTGTATAAAAGTAAAATTTTACTCTGCATAAAAGTAAAATTTTACTCTCATTGTAAACAAAGGATTCGGACCAGAGTAAAATTTTACTCTCATTCTCGGAAACAAAAGGCACAGCAATAGAACCAGAGTAAAATTTTACTCTGATTCTGTCAAACGAAATCAGATCAAACACAACAAAAATAAATCAAACGAACAAAAATAAAAAAAATTAATTACAAATCAACATACTTAATTGAGAAGAAAAACCTCTACAACTCGATCAACAATCACAAATCTCAATGAAACTTTCGTTTAATTGAAAGTGTTGATCATCGGCCACCAAGTAAGAGATGTTCGGCTGCGAGATCGTCTATTGTTGAACAAGTGAGATGTTCGGCTGCGAGATCTTCAAATTTGGAGATCGTCTTCATCAATTTTGTGAAGTATGATCGATTTGGAGGTCGTTTTCATCGTCTTTCATCGGCTACGAGCTCAGATTTCAAATTTTTCATACGTATGATACTATGTATACAAGGGCAATATTGTGATAAAAAAAAATAGAAATTATAAAATGTCCTTATTAAGTTAAGCATTTCTTACTCAGGGACTTTTTGAAAGAAAATTAATTGGGTTATCCTTTACCCTAATAAAAAGGCCCAAAAGGGGGGTTCCACCAAAAATCCTTTTTTTTTTTTCCGGCTTTCTTTATCATGATTAAAGAATGGTAGATAAGAAAATGTAAAAGGAAAGACCTAATGTAGGGGATTCTACATGGGGTCATTGTACCTTTGTCAAATGTGACAATAGAATGCACTTGAGATGTAATTATTGTGGGAAAGACTATTGGGGTGGAGTTATTCGAATGAAAAATCATTTGGCCAAAACTCATGATGATTGGTGCATGTGTTTGGAAGATATTCACTTTTTTTGGTTTTGAGTTTTCAAAAATAGCTTTTTAATTTTTCTAGGCCACTATTTTTTAATTGGACCTTTTCTTTTGTGGACCTCCTACTTGCCACCATTTTTTTTTTTTACAATAGATTTTTTTTTTTGTAGGCCATCATGAATTTTTCTAGACCATC